ACCTTCTCTACCACCCAGCATTTGCATCTGTTACAATTGGGTCATAATTCGACGATCGCAATTAGTTACCTTACTAATACTTTTAATTCCAGTTGGCTTTACATTTTTATAAGGCTTTCTTAGAGCATTATTCAAGTGCAAACTGAAATATGCCAAGTGTAACATCCTATATCGTTCGACGTTCATCTTATTTAACTTTACAATTATGTATATCAACTACTGTTCACGAGATTGTTTGTATATTTTAGATTTATACGAGACACGTATTTTATCATTATCTCAAATAATAAAAATGCTTGGATTAAGGAAGGAGACTCACGACAATGAATAAAAGTAAAAAAAGACAGCGCTTATATACTGATGAAATTCCATACTCGAGCAATGGATACGGATCCTTGAATGCAAGCCCTCATTTTAACCTTCTGGAACAATCCAAGGCTAACCGCACTCCCTAGAACAATAAAATCCACTGTGGCAGGGGATAAGCTTACCGCCATCATTTGGATTAATTCTTTATTCAAATTATTATCAAAGTAAGTAAATAATTGTTCTTAGTTTATTAGGGTATTATAATTACAGCCATACACACCAGCAGGGCCCACTTAGGAATAATTTACTTAACAGGAAAGTGACATCAATCAAGCCGTTATGATATACCCGCCGATAACTTATTTACAAGGGTTCGAGAAGCCTGCTCAGATGTTAGATGATATCAACAATATTGTTATGTATTAACAAACAATTCACCCCACTTGCTAGATACTCCACAAGCGGTTGCAAACACTGGAAAATGTAAGCTAACAACCATTACGAGCGTTTGTTTAGATATTGAAAAAAGTATCTTTAAGAATATTGACATCACGAATTCGTATTATCTGTAGTTGAACTTTTTCTTTTTTATTTTATGAAAGACAACCTAAAGGTCCTTATAATTAGTACTTGCCAAACAAAGAAACAGTATTTTATATTGTTATTAAATTAAAAGATTGTTTTATAATATGCTGTTGTTATTTGTAATCAAAATTCGATTTATTGCGAGAATGCATAATCGTTTCGTCCAATTTCCTTTAGACGAGTGGCTAATGAATCTATAGATAGATACGTTATCGTTTATGCATTCATGAGATAAAACAGGTCAACAACGGGCGGCGTAGTAAAGTGCCGAATCAGGCTGACTCGAGTAGGTATTGATACGAATACCTAATAGGTACATGTACTCAGATACTCAATATAGGTACTAAACTCAGATACATGCTATTCGAATACAGATTTCGAATATTTACGATACTCGAGTACAACTTGTGTTTTTATCATAAGTTTATATATATTTATATTTCAACATTTTTTTAATATTTTCTTTCATTATCAAAGGAAAAATAAAATTACTGAGTATTTATTATCTTCATAAAAGTAAATTTCCGAAATTAGTCGGAAAAAGTACTAGAGTATGAAATACTTGAATACCCATATGAATACTTGAGTACCTGTTCGAGTCTTCAGACTCGAATCAAGGTTCGATAAATTTTTTTAGTGACTACTAAAATACTCGAACAAAAGTCGAGTCAGTACATTACTATAGCAGCGTCTTGTTCATTCTCTTGCGCACAGTAACAAAAACGTATGTCTGTTTAAAAATTTATCTTCTTCCTAAGTTATATGCAATTATATTTTGCTATTCACTAATTTCATAATATATTTTTATCACTAAATTACAATGTTTAAATTTAAAAGAAGAAATTGCTGCTTGATAAGGAAGTAAGTACATATGTAAGTAATCGATATCTTTATCAAAATGTGCAAGCGTGTTCATTATAACAACTTTGATAGATAAAACGATGATTAAATCTATCATCCATGGAATATAAGTTCTTGACGGCATAAAAATTTTAGAATTAATTGCCAAAAAATGAATTTAGAAATATGAAAATAGATGTGATCATGAAGATAGAATGGGTCGCTATTCTATATTATATAGAGCAAAACTCACTAGGGGCTATAAAAAGTAGTTCCGTCCCGGAAACCCATTTCCGTTAAGCAATGATGACTCCCAAAATATACCCTAAACTCAAACTACATTATAATAAATCGATCGTTGCTGTCAAAAATATTAATACAAGCCCATTTTTGATTTTGTTTTATTTACGAGTATATTTCAAACGATCCATTATTATTATTTATTATTATGAGCACAATATGAGCCCATGTTCTTCTTTATGCCAAATAGTTTGAGAGCCGAAAGATGAGTAGCAAACAAACCAACATACATTTATTTTCATAAGTATAAGTTATAAGATGATGTAATAGATAGACAATGACTTGATTTGTATCTACCTACAGCAGACAAACAATAACAAACATACATAAAAAGAGAAAAAAAATGCGAAGTAGATAAGAAAAGTAACGCTGACTGTTTTGTGTGCCACAATAAAACAAAATGACCTGGGAGGAAGAGACTGTTCGTATTATCGGACTACCAGTTCCATTGCTAGTAATACACCCTGTCTGGTCGACCTGAAATCATTGTGCTGAATTATAGGTGTATTCGCCACGATGTGCTAACTGACCTACCTTTTCAATCTTACATATCATCCCTCACTGGTGCCCCGCCAGCGTATACCGTTAACGCATCTCCCAATTACGCAGACTAACTCGCGAGTAAAAGCTGATATAAATAAATGCTGTACGATCTCATCTACCACCTAACTCACCCTGAGATGTGTTATGAGAAACAAGAAACAACTGGGGCACAGCTTAATTATATTTCATATCCTACTCAATTACAAAATATTGTTTCCTAAATTGGAACCACTGAGAATCGAAAACAGGACCTTGCTTGAATAAAGCAAGTATCTTCCCAGTGCGCCATGGAGGGCACATGATCACGACAAAATTGGACAGTGAATGTCCATTTCAAAAAAATTTAAAATTAAAAAAAAATCCATTGTTTGTAAATTTTCATCATATGTATGTATAATTTCTTGATGCTATCCGAGATAAACTTAATTTATTGGACAATTACTAGTTTTACGCGAATTTCAAGTCTACAAATTCGGATAATATCACCATACGAAATACGAATGGTCTCATTGAATACCAGAAGAACCACCTACGGTGATTTTTTTTGTCATAAAAACTTTTTTGGTAAAAGCTCATTGTCAAGTTTACTGATTGTTGTTTTTTTATGGAAAAACAGGTGTTGCCTCACTCAATAAATCTCACTGTATTGTATAAAAATGTTTAAAGGAAACAATGAATCTATACATATCTATATAAATGAATGTTTCGATTCCCCGTACACTATCCCCGTAGTTACATCAGTCTAATGTCCGTGCCGTTCCGTTCTTGGTGCCAACTCCACTGTACCACGTCTTTGCAAGTTGTTGAATGATTGCAAGCAACACTTGGATATTCACTTCGATACAAAAGGGGATTTCTATAGGAAAGCATTGCAGTTAATTTAAATAGCCAAAAAACTTATGTGAAGCAATCATCTATTGAATCTAAAAAACTATACCAATGTCAAATACTCAAGAGATTGTTATACTATATTATTGTTTTTGTTAATTAGCATGCTGTGTTTCCTTTAAAATGATTGTACACTAAGTATAAATAGACAGTAATTTTAATACTAAATCTTATCAGTGTAACAATTGCTAGGAGACCAAATAAAGATAAAATAAGATAAAATAAAATATACAAACAAAAATCAATTGCCAAATGTATGTAACCGCATCACTTCAATCAACCAATTGGCTATTTTTTTTGTACTGTACATATTTGTAATTATAAGAACAAGGTTTGTATTAAATGTTTGAAAATTGTACGAAAAAGAGAAAAAATTGTGTAAAAAATCTCTATTTGTCAAAAAAGTGAGTGACACAGAAGACAGTAAGTTCTATTCCACACTATAACACCGATCTCGGTTCGCTCTCGATCCGTTCTCGGTATGATCAGTAGAAATAGTTCGAGTTTGATCGTGACTGGAACGGAACGGCACTGGACTTATAGTATTATACACACATTATTTCTTACGTAATAATAATATTATACCAGACCGAGATCGTACTAAGACCGAATCGAGACCGGTATTATAGACAGTGCGGATTCGGTGTAAGGAAATGTAAAAAAAAAAAATAGTGACAGAATTAACAGCCTAATGCTCAGTTGTTTACTTTCTTACTTTATTTTCATTTCATAGTCGTACTGTAAAGGGAACGTTTGATATCATTTTCTTTATTAGTATATCCATGCAAAGAACGTGCGGGCTTGTATAATACAAAACACTCTACAATATACAATTAAACATTTGCGACAGAAACTGATAATTGGTTTCTATTATCAATTTCTGTAATTTAATTAATTACAAAGTACACACCAACAATATTACCTAATTTGTATCACAACAGCTGTTCCTAAGCTCACCTGTAACAAAGAAACAAAATAATTAGAAACTAAACAATTATTCGATGAGTAAAATTAATTTTCTGTTAAATTAATATTAAGTTACTACAATTATCTATACACAAAATTTGTTATAATATTTATTGGTAATTGTGTAATATTATATTGACTGTCTAAAGATTAATTGCGAAATTTAATTATAACATCCAATTAGTAAAATATTTTATGTTTCAAAATAAAGTTGAATAATGTTAATAGGGTATCATAAAATTGTAAAAAAATCTAGGTTATAAATAATTTTAAATACTATTATTTCACTTATTCCTTTCTTTAATATAAAAAAATAAAGATTTAAAGATATTACTCGACGGATTTTAATGAAATATCACAAACTAACTATGTATAATTATACCAGATTAACAAATAAAGTATATTTTGCAAACAAAGTAGCAGAATATAATTAGTAATTGGATTCGGTTTAACTTTTATAATATTTATATTTATTATACCTCTTATTTACATATAGACAATTATACAGGTAAGTGATGTTGTATATTACATACGAGTACATTTAAGTAATTTTTGTAATTATTATTTCGTAACTTGATTTCAAGCGTCTATAACAAATTTTGCAATTTTTTTATTTGATTAAATTCCTGTGAAATATCATATCAATTACATGTATATTAAGTAAAGTCATAGGTGTTAAATAATTCTACGTTATGGAGCCTCCCAGTCGGTCACTAATCATTGTTATATTTTTATTATTATACGTAAGTTAATTTTAAAGTTATTTCTTACGTTAAATAACAAAATTGTTATATTATAATCAATATTTTTAATGTAATAATTTTTATTTAGGTCATATGCGTGCTCTGTCAAAAGCCACCAACAAATGAAGTTATTTCAACACAGACTTCCTCTTTAAATATATGCTCTGACACCAATGCAGGATCACCTACACCTAAGCTTATGCAATCATTGCTAACATTAGCAGCAGCAAAAGGTGTATTGCCAGATATTCTTCCTGCTTTGCAGACAGTAATACCGGAAAGTTTGCTAAATGTAATTGGCTCCACAGAAGAAAATTTTCTACCTTCTGAAGCACCGGTGTTAGAGACAGCATCTCCTAATACAGCGGAACCAATAACTTCATGTAACGATATGTTATCGTTACAAAAGCCAACGAATATGGCAATACCGGCGTCAACTACTCCATCCAATTTTATTCCAAGCTATACCCAGACTGTTCCATTAACAGTAACTTCATATAATCCATTTACTATCAATGATATTCAACCACAAAATTTGGATTTATCACAACAATCTGTAAATTCATGCTACTTCGATGTCAATGACGCAGAAGTCGCTGCGCCTTCTAGTATAAATTCTCTTCATACAATTACGAATAGAGAATATATTACAGAATCATTAGGAATAACAAATTTTACTGATATAATTAGTGGGATTTCAAATGATTATGTTCTACCTTATCCTGTCCATTTACGTATCAATGTTTCCGTGCCAAATGTACAAGCTCCAAGACATATGTTACCAACAGGACCAGAAGCTTATATGACTACATATCCATATAGTTATCTTAAACCACCTCCTATATCACAATTCATTCCAGCTCCACCTATTATTATTGAAACTTCAAGGTCTAGATTTAAGGATTGGCTTCCGGTAATATTAATCGCAATGTTAAATAAAGGATACGTCGAAGATTGTTGTTGTTGTAACAATGGCAGGTATATTCCCATTCCATATCCAATACCATATCTTGATAATAGTAACTAAATTTAACTTTTTATTAATTAAATTTAATCTAATTTTATGTCTGTTTTTTACTTCGTTTCTTTATTAATAAAAAAATAAATAATATCTAAGTGAAGAATATTTTGTTTTTTATTTCTACGTCTATATTATTCCAATAGACATATTGAGAAACTTTTCCTTTTTGAAGAAATGAGTACTTCTTATATGTCTTATAATCGTACATACTTCATATTTCTATATAGAAAAATGATGAAGAAATTAATTAAATAATATCAACCTACACACAAATGGGATTCGCCTAATTATAACTAGACAGCTAACTCACATTCAAGAAAGTTCGTGTCCTTAATTGACTCGGACGAAAATCCCGATATCTCTACGTAACTTCTCGCAGTTAAACAATTACTGTCAATTAAGTTCAATAGGAGAAAATATAAAAGAAATGTCTATAAATAAATATATGATTATACAATAGAATACTCATCATCATCTTCCTAGCCTTATCCCAATTATTATTTGGGGTCAGCGTAATATGGTTTTATCCACATTACCAAAGGATTTGGCTTATAGTTTTACGACCGGCCGCCTACCTGATGTCAACCCTCTTTGGGTATATCAATAGTATATTCATATATCTATTAATTGGTTGTGTGGTCCAGTCATAGAATAGGCGGCCTCTTCCTTTCGTATAGTCGAATCATGTCATAAGAGACTACTAAGGGAACTTAATGGTCGAGGGATGGGCAGCAGCGTCTTTCTTAGAGCATCACCAAGGCCTAACTGCGGTTGCCAATCCGCCTGCTAAATGTGGTAACTACTGGCAAAACCCCCTTTTGAAAAAGGCCTACGTTTAACAGTGGTCAGTAGAGGGCTGATATGATAATAATATCTATTAACATATATATAAATAAAAAGAGAAACTTAGTGATTGACCTAAGCATAAGACGAAACTGCTGTGCCTAGAGACATGAATTTTCAAAATTACATAGAATGAGTTAATACCTATACATAAGTGTAATAAGATACCAGGTTTTACCTGAGACTTCGTTTACATAATCGAGATATGTTGATTGATCAGGATAAGTCTAAGCCTTTCTCCATTCTAAATAAAGATAAAAAGCTGATGTCGAAACGCCTGAACAAATTTTGATAAATTGTAGCTAAGAACCATCTTGATTATGTCTGCTTTTAAACAAATAAATGTATTATAATCGATCCATTCGTTTAGAAACTACGATGCCACAGACATACACACAGACACGTCAAACTTATAACACCCCTCATTTTGCGTCGGGGATTGAAAATAGAGCGTCGTTACGACAACTACGTCAAACGTGCTTAAATCTTCCTACATACTTTTGTAAAAATATGACGTCTAGACTTGACACGGAATTTCGTAATCGCGGAAGTTCATCCATGCCTTGTTCTACGTCAAATACTTTTTTCTAATTTTAAGAGTGGTCAACGTCGAATTTTTTTAAAAAAAACAATAAAGCATTGTTTAATGGTTCTAACCGATTATTTAAAAAGTGATCAGCTAGCGAACTAAAATATTAATTATAGAATAATAATAATATTTTGCTTTGCAATTTTTTAAATACATTTGTATTATAAAAATCCAAATTTTTTGTGACAGTTTACTCTCTTTAGAATACCACTGCATGATTAATGTTTAAGTTCGCTAGAACTTTTTAAATAATTAATCAGAAACAATGTTCAATTGTTTTTGAAAATTGATAGATAATTGCAACGTTAATTAATTCTTTCTACGCAAAGGTTGTCTGGAAGAGATTGCTTAGCAATAAGACCGCATTTTGCACTATACTATGCTTAATGAAAATCATTCAACAAGCCCTGTAATATTAGTACAGTAAAATGTTACATAAATAAATAAATGATAAATGTATTAATTATTTAATACACTATGCTTAATAAAAATCATTTAACAATCCCTGTAATACTGGTGCAATAAAGTGTTACATAAATAAATAAATTATAAATTGAATGAAAGAATGGATAAATGATGAATGAATAAATAAATAAACGTTGCTATACTTTAATACGAGTAAGCTAAAGTTGTGAACGCTTTTAAGTCTATACAATTGTTTATGATTAGAAATTAAGGATAGTACCTGCTGTCTATTACTTATTTATTTTAATATGAGTATATCAATTGACAACCCTAGTAAAATAAAAAAAAATCATCAGTATCAAAATATCTTTACATCGTAATTAGGTATAATAGATATAATGGTAAAGCGTAGATCTTATATTATATCTGCATAGAAATTAAACAATTTTTTAAATTAAAAATATACAATGTCTCACTACTTTAATTTCTGGCTGATATTACCGTCATATATTTTTTTTATTTTTTACATAAAACCCGTTTAACCTTGTATTCATACATACCCATGATGTATGTAAATGCGATTTTTATTGCCTTATTGTTTTCTACGTTAAAAACATGACCTTAGACTAGGATGAGACAATAATAATATTTCATGTGCCTTCTAGTATCTACTTATTATCTTTTGTATGTTTATCACAATCAGTATATAATATACGTATACGACCTTCACTACGTTATGTTGTCTACCATAGATAGGTACTCATTCATGACATTAATTGCACCGATTCACCGATTCAAAACAAGCAAGATACGTTCTTTGTATTCTCATCTTGCTGTGTCATAAGCGTCACAGCCAACGAAAATATCTGTAAAAATTGGACATACAATCACAGATTGAAATGCGCTATTGAAAACGGTGCATACCTACAAACTACTACATACTACAAACAAATTATGCATTTATTTTTAAGCTAAAGATATTTGCTATCAAACATGCCGAAGAATTCTTAGACTTTTTTTTTAACATCTTAAATATAATATTTTTGAGATGCCTTTACTCTAATGATCTGAATGAAATTTAATATATTTACTAGCTGTGCACGCGACTCCTCTACTGATATATACTTATTAATAGGCTATGATAAAACGGATTATTGTCCGTTCACACTGGCCGGCTGAGCAAATTTTGATCGCGTTTAAAATAGAATTGTAAATTATTGAAATAAAGTTTATTTTTACACTTATTTTGTCGACGTTCGAGCATTCTTATTTAATAAAAAAAGCGAGACGTAAATAAATATAATCCTTATTTTAATGATCTTAAAACTGTTATAAACACAATCAAAATCAGAGGACCTACCATGAAATGTTTTCTGAAATTTCGGAGCCAAACGAAACACAAATTTGATGTTAAAATTACATAATTACATAAAATTACATACGGCATGTACCGTTTGGAAATAATAAAAATGTTAAAATATTGTTCCTTTGGACTTTTATGATAGGATGTATGACGAACGAAATGTTAAACTTCATTTATTAATCCGATTTTAGTATAAACAAAAACACGAAATTGAGTCTGAAATTTCGGAATTTCATTTCATGGTAGACCCGCTGCTCTGCTCTCCGGGTCGATCTGTATGAACAAACACTAAGGTATCAAACATACTTTCACGTTTATATTCTACCGAGTAAACATTTATAGGTTACTATGTTTAATGTATTTATTCATATACAAAATGATTTAATAGGTAATAGTCAGATTAGATAAATAGCCTTTATGCAATCCCAACATATAAATCAAATTACAATGTTAGACTATGTTATTGATGAAATGTTATTGATTAAATCTACTTGTAAATGAAGTAGATTAATTGAATAACAATGACAGCATTGCCTGTTTATCTATGTATAATTGTGACATAATTTTTAAGTTTTAAGGTAAGTTATCATGGTTTTTTTAATAACATATAGGTAAATACTACGAGTATAATGTAAAAAGAGAAAAGTATGGTAAAATTTTGAACTAGTTTAGGGCATGAATAATTCAAACGTAACATAACATAGTAATCTGAGACTTTACTTTCATCTTTTATGAAGCACGATAAAAAGTGTTATATCTAGGATATAAATCCTCTATCATTCACAAAATGTTATTTCCATCTGTTTAACTGACATATTCGAGTAACAAACATTCATTATACCAGTTATAAATTACCTAACACGCTGTAATCTTTGCTTATGTAAATTATTATAAAAATATGTATTAAGATCCAATGAAATGCCATTAATAAATGGTCTTATAATATAAATTTTCACATTTATTATAATAATAGATTGATAGCACTATATGGGCACAACGGTAATAGCAGTATAGATCCGATGTAAACAAGTAATTGCCTAATTTATCAAATAAGATAAAGAAGAAGTTAGCTTGTCTTATTTTAATATTTTTCTATTTTCATGAAGATTATTATTTTATTAAAGTATGAATTATATTAAAATTAATATGAAGACTGGACGGACTGGTAGATAATAACTAATTAACTTGATATCACCTGTCTTGAGTATCAGTGTATAATACTTTGGTATCCCTAAATCATTTCTTGCTGTAGTAATAATACTCGCGCACTTGTCGTCACAATGTTATTTGCTTGAGCATGAAAAAGAAATATTAGATGATTAAGAAACATTAAATAGATATCTATAATAATAAATTTTGTTACTTTTCTTTTATTTCCTGTACATTTTTCTATATAACTCAAAAACATTTGCTCTGTCCCTAAATATGTTATTTATTACATAAGCTACTACGTTAAAATCTTTGTATATATGTATATATGTAACACAGAAATAATCACAGATATATGTAAGTATTTTTTTTTGTTTATAAACGAGAAAGCTAAAATGTTAATTTCATAATCCTGTACTTCAAATACGGAATGGTCTTTGTTAATAAAGTTTATAGACTCATTTAAAAGGTCAGCCCAATCTCTTCAATTACTTTCGACCACCATTTTTACATTTGGGTTACAATATAAACACCTAATTTCTTCAGAGATTATTTGAACTTATTGCATATTTTAACAAGAGGCTTTAAGAGCAAAACAGTTTAATATTCTGAAGTGGATTTCGGTTTTAGATTATGACATTGAATAAGTTTAAACATTATTTTTTCCTTGGCACATTTTAATATAAACAATATTTTTCTATGTCTTTTAGCGAAATAACAGTACTTAAAATTGCTAGATAAAAAAATGTTGATTATATATTTATTTCTATCTCACTTTTGCAGACAAATTCATCAAGCTTATCATCAGGTAGATCGTATGCTTAATTTGACGGGAACAGAAGATAGCAAGATTTAATAAAAAATCCGTGTAATAAAAAATATAGGATATTTTAAAGCGCATTCAAAAACAATACAAGTATAAAATTCTGACTTTCAATAAATAATCAATAACTAACTATCAATCGGCGGTGACAAGCTCGCAGCCACGTTAATTTCCAAAAAAAAAAAAACATAAAATGTACATGTTGAGTGTTACGTTTACCATAATAGTTATGACAAATACTCCTGATTAGTCCATTAGGAATTATAGTCGTAAATATATTATATCCTTTTTTATTTAATTTAATAAGATCATGTATTTAAAAAAAAGCCAATAATTTTTAACAATAGAAATTTAAATAAAAATATATGAGAATATTTTCCTTTAATAAAGATAGGAAGTTATGATGCTGTGACATATTATAAAGTAATATTTATAATAGAGAAATATATAAGCATTGTTTTATCTTACGTTTATCGGTTTTGTTAAACATATTATCATGTCATTTTATCATCATCAGGTAATGAACGTGATGGAGATTCAAGTATACAATCATTATCGTCGTCAACAGATAAATCATTACGAAACTTTTTTAGATATAATAGTATTTAAGAGATTAACAACATCATTTCACAAATTTTCAAGATGTGGTTAACAACAATTTTGTATATATTTATATTTAATATGTGTTTTCAGGTAAGTTATGGTTTTTATTTAATTTCTTCTGGCAAACATTTTTAAGCGACTTACAAACGGAGTTGTTCTCAATTCGTTCTTCATCGATTGTGATAATTTTTCGAGTATTATTAATATTCTTTGCAAAACAAAATCTTATTTGTTGAGATGCAAAATAATTTGCAACTTAATATTTTCATATTTTTAATCGCGTATGTTTAAAATATATGCTTATAGAAACACGATTATTTATTGATGTACATATTTTAATAATTAAAAAAAAACTTACTGATATTACTAGTCAAGAATAATTATGTTGCAATTTAGGATACTGTTTTTGCTTTACTGAATAAGGTGTTATCTTGCGGAAGTTATATCTCTATTATATTTTCAATATTATAATAAAAAAAAATAAAGTTTCAATATTATATAAAGTTATTTTTTTTAATTCCACTACAATTAGTATGTGTGTGACTGTCAACACTCGAGGATTGACCACCATTATTACTACCAGAAGTTCCATACCTTCCATATTAGCGATCAATCACCGACTGTTATTTAATATGTATACATTTAATTTAAACATGTGTGAAAAAAATATCTAATCTGGTTATTTACCAGGAATACTGTTTTTGCATAGCAACATTTATATTATATATTTATTTTAAATAATAATAATTAATAATATTTGTTTTCTTTCAGAAAGTTCTTACACAACTAAGTACGTCTTCAAATACAGGCCTAAATAATCCTATAATATCAGCAGCATTACAAAACAATGGATTGACAATACCGAAAAATTTAAACCAAATACCCAAATCACAAAAATATTTAAACCTCCAACAGATTAATAAAATGCAACAACCAGTGAATTTACAACAACTGAACTTACAACAAGCATCAAACTTGCAAATGGAAAATTTACAGCAGGGAGCGAATTTGCAACGAGCCACAAATTTACAACAAATGAATTTTCAACAATCCGGTTTACAACCAAATTTACTGCAACAACAAAATTTATCACCCGTATTAAATAATATCGCAAGTCAACGGCCTGATTTTTCCCTAGCTTCTTCGCTTATCTCCAATTCTAATTTAGCAAAAATAAATAATCCACCAATGAATAAACCTGTCATAAATGGAAATTCTATTCAAGGATTTCAGTCTCGTTTCAATCCAGGATTACGTAACGTTGCTCCTGCCACATCTAATTTTAATTTACAACCAACTGTACAAACGTCATATACAGGTTTTATCCCAAACGGACAAAATGCATTCCTTAATATGCCTCAAGTAAATCAAGCAACGCCAGATCAGCTTTCGTCCATTTCAGAGACACCTGTTATCAATCAACCAAGTCTAACCTTAGTAGCACAACCTGCTCCAGATCAGCAGTCTTTAAATATAATACAGAATGTCCCGATGGATTATCAAAATCAAATTTCAATAATAAAGTCTGTACAACCTCAAGCATCCCTCGAAGGAATACAAAACCAATTACCATCACTCAATATGAATCAAATACCAGTACTCTCGCCTAATCTTCCACAATCTCCAGATTATCCATTATTTCCTCCAGACTATTCTATCGATTCGTTATTAAATACAATGTTATCGAAAAAAGATTCAAAATCGTCAACTTTGAAGATGTTATTGCCTCTTATATTTAATTTATTGAAAGAGAAAAACACTGGTTGCCGGTGTCAATGTTGCGGATGCATGAAGGATAACATGCTAGTACCCCAAATATTTAGTGAATACGCGAAACAAAACAACTATGGATTGCGATACGACGAAAAGGATGATATCGAAACGTATAGGCCAAGAAATAATAAAAGAAAACATAAAAAATATAACAAAGAAGACACAGATAGCAGAGAATATGATGATGATTACAACGATTCCTATGAAGATGAAGAAGATTAGATTTGTATAATTTTTATAGTTTTAAATTAAATATAGGCAAATTATGAACTGTGATGAAAATTTATTTAATGTAAGTAGGTTATATGCGATGTACGTTTATATTAAAAGAAAAATGTGTTATGTTACTCGGTGTAATAAAATATAATTTTTATGTTACTGCGTTATTTCTTTCTTTTATATGTGTTTGCAGTCTTAGAAGTAAAACAAATTACTCTCGTGTTGGTTTCATAATAATTGTATCATGATTGGAGAATATTTTTTGTTGTTGTGAAACAAAATCTTAAATTAGTAGTATATTTTGTTGTCAAACAACAGGACATTCCTAGTTGTGATATAGTATAATTATCTTGTTACGTACGGTAATTTCTGTTAATCCATCCATTTTTTATTAGATATAAAAAGTATCTACCAAAAGACATATTTGCTAGAGCGTTAATAACTTATTTTAAGTCAAATATTATATTATGTCATTTATTAAAAAAGACCTTCTAACTGTACAAGAACAAACTAAAAAAAGCCTTTGTTTAAATACATTATTAATTGATGTTTAGAATAAACAGTTGTCATCATTGTTTCAAAGTTCTCGATTAGTTTCAGGAAAGCTAAAAAAATCTACCCACAAGGACAGACGAAAAAAAATATCTGTACTCTAGCCACTATATTAATACCCAAACATTTTTCTGGTAGCATTTCTAGGTAGCGACTGTATCTATCTTAGTTTAGAACAAACATAGTTGTCATAATAATAAAGTTTCAAGGAACTTTGTAAAGAATAAGACAGCTTTAGAGCTCATCCGGCGTGCCATTGTCTGTATCGCGGCTGGTACATTTTTTTATATTTTATCTTTATTATAAACAAGTACAAAAATAAAAATAAAATAACAGCGTTTATAAATTACTGTCTGTAACCTTTTTATAATATATTAATAGAGTTTTTTATGCAACTTAGAATGGCAAACAAGCTGTTGGCCCAACTTACAGAAAATGGTTACTGTCGCATAGGCGATATGTCTACAGAGAATAGACAAGGAGTACCATGGACATAACAGAATATACTGTTTTGTCCATAATACCCCTAATATATATAATTTCTGAGGACTAAATTGCCCTAAATTACACTTCAAACCGACACATACTCATGCAAACACAACTACTTCACGGTTGAAACACAAAGTTTAATTTGTACAAAAGTCGTCTGCACGAGTAGCCCATGATACAGTTCGTAACAGAAATGTCTACAAAAGCATTGGTCAACAGTTTTGCCATTAAGAAATGCATAAAAAAAAAAAATATATAAAATCTCAATCACTTACTTCACCGCTTACTAAACCGCTTATTTAATATTTTTATGTGACATTTAATTATTATTATAATATCTACTCAGAATAATTAATACAATATAAATTGAATACAAAACTATAAATAAAATTTTAAAAATTATAATGTATTTTCTTTGTGCGTATGTTACGTGGTACTTACGTCATTTTAATTCTGACCCGACTTTCATATACGTCAATATATTTTGCTTCCATGTCTCCATATAGATTTTTATTATCAGACTTTGTTTTTTATGTAACAACTTTAGAATATCGTTATACATGAAATAATTTGATTTTTGCGAATTTATAATTATGGAGACCTTTATAAATACATATTTTATTATAACTATCACGCACAAACCCTTTTAGACAATTATTAATTTACCAAAAAAAATCTGTTATCAATTTAAATTAATATTTTAGTTGAAATTTAATTATCAAAATTAGCCCATCATTGATACTGCTACATGTATAAATAAATAATAATATTACTAATAAAGAGCCTCTCCACCCATTCCATTTTTAATTTTATCCCTCCTCCTCCTCCTCTTTAAATCCTCAGAATCGTTTAAACACTGCATGTGACAGTCTCTGTCAAAAGAAAATATTGCCACCGAGCTACAACAATTACTATAGATAAAATAAATAAAAACAATTATGTATAATTTGCACTGTGTTTCGTTTATCACCGAAACAAATTAAAATAAGATTCTTAAGTTCGTAATGAATAAATTAACTAACTAAAAGGACTTTATGTTAAATGAATACATTTGCTGTAAGTCCATCTACAAATTTATAGTCTATTAAGTTTCTTCGTTGAAAATAATTAATTAATTAACTTTAAATATTTAATTCATTCAAATCTACTCCTACAAATTGTTTTAATGCCTGTATTTTAAGTTTTCCAAACAATTTTTTTTGTGATTTTAAATTAAAAAAAATATATATTTATACTTCATTGCATACAAATATTACGAGTAGATACATTGTTATAAATTATTTTGAACAAAATGTACAACAGGCAAACTTAACATTATAACAATTTTCATATAAAAAAAAAAAAAATTAAAATAATTTAAAAGAATCAATCATTTTAAAGTATTTTAGGATTTTTTTTCTAATTAATATGAAATAATTCCTAATATATTAAATAACTAGGGGTCCACCCTGTATCCACATATTTTTTTTAAATAAAATATAACCCATTACTCGATGATAATGTATTTTTACTTATTTATTTGTTTATTTAATTAACTTTATATTACTCTAAAACATAAAAATATACAATGAAAATTAAAATTTTTAAATGAAATATTCTGTATTTCATTTAAAATTTTAAAAAGCTTAAAGTACAAATCAAAACTTCTACTACTGCTAACCAAAAGTACGACTTTAAAAAGAAAGAGATTCTTAATTCAGTTATATTTTTTATATTTGTTACTACATAACACCATTAGTTCTAAATTGCTTTGGAAAATTCTTTTCTATCTAAAAGGATATACTTACAGATTAGTTCCATAGAATTTTATCAAAATCGGTTCAGTAGTTTAGTTTTTAGATAAAAATAACTAGTTTTGTTACAATTAAAGCCCTTTCTTTTATAGGACACAATCTTTAATTTTTTAAACTGTCCTATCTCTCAAGGTTCAAACAATACACATTTATAAAATTTATTTAAACTTGGCTGAGCAGTTTCAGAAATCAGTGTAAATTTTCCATTTAATGTCTAAAAAAATATCTCCTCATTTATCAATGTACTTGATCATGATCAAAATAATTTTTTTTTGCGAACCAAATGTACTGATATGAGAAAAAAAAAGTGATACTCGCATTGGTAGTGATATTTTGGCTCTATTTGATGCGCTTAAACTCTCACTAGTTACAAAACCTCTGTTAAATTCTACTAGCTCTTCCTTTAATACTATTTTCCTGCGCTCTTTCATCATCTTCCTCCGTCAATCTCTCTCTCATATATATGTATGTGTGTGTATTTGTATACATTAGTATCCATATAACAGTGCGCTACCTTCCCTTTGTTTTTTTTTCTCAATGTCCTCTAACCAAAGATTGTTTGGAAGAGAATGCTTAGCGATAAGGCCCCCTTTTGTACTTCTCATTAATATTTTCTGTATTTATTATTTTTTTAATATAATATATTTAAAATAATAATACTTTTTTAAATAAAAATGTAAATAAATATTAAAGTATAAATAAATAAATATTTTTACTACAAATTATAGGTAGAATCACCAATAAATTAGTACAGAGCCTACGATAATTTATTGCGAACTTTCCTCCAACATGATAAATGGATGATAAGGCTGTCACTAATGTGGCATAACACGACTTAAGGCAACACTTTTTAGTTACATATATTATCGACTGACATTAAATATAATCTTGATGCAATATTACTAAATTATAAATTGATAGCAATAGTTTTATATAAAAGAAACACAATTATATTTTATATCAGTGAACGATATACTGAATACAGTAAAGTATTTTATTACATATATAAGTTATATAATTAGAATATAATAATTATAATTATATAAGTAACATGGACTCATTCTATTGTCTTACTGTCCTAGTAATAATAAGCAGCATTAACGTAAGTATTATATACTATATTTTGTAAAAAAAATAAAGTTTCATAAATAATAGATAATAAGGACATTAAGGAAAATTTTGGTTATTATAGATGAACATGTTACAGAAAATAATTTAATTTATAAAATATTTTTTTGCTTTTCCTATCTATTCGTTTTATATCCGTCGATAGTTATACAATTTTTTATCTTTTATAATATTTTATGGATAGTCATTGTAAAAATAGAAATATTCTTGTTTACTTGGATTAAACATTTAAATACAAATTCAATTTCAATCAACCTAACTTTTCAATAACATCGAACAACGCTATACCGTTAGCGTAAGCTACCATAATGCATAATTTCAAATAAGTTTGGAATAATCATGGTTTGTCTTATTTTAACAATAACAGAAACAACTGAAAAAATGCCAATAACTACCTAATTTGCGACATAATTATTACTATGTCACAATGTCACAAATATGTGTTTATGCAAATAAATTATTGATTGGTTGAATATATGTTGTCTATATATCCGCTTGCCAAGCGTGGCAACTACTAGCAAAACTTTCCTTATGGGGAAGGCTTATGTTTAGCAGTGGACAGCTAATGACTGAAATGATGATATGTGTTGTAATAAATATTGTTAACATTTTCAGGTACATGTCTATGCTCAGTATGGATATGGAGGTCAGCTCAGCGGCGGTTATGGGCCACCACAATATCCCGTGGTTCTTAGATCTGGTGGGTCAGATGGAGGCGATGGTCTTAATAGTATGTTGCCCATATTAATGCTGCTATTACTTGATCGTGATGGCGGTATTGGAGGTGGATGCGGTGGTGGATGCGGTGGCGGATGTGGGGGCGGATGTGGGGGCGGATGTGCCTGCAAATGTAAAGGAGGCTGTGGGGGTGGATGTGGTGGAATTCCTTATCCCTATCCTATACCTACTCCGATCGGATTTCCGGGTTAAATTGCATGATTGATATTTTTTTTTATTTTAAAAGCAATAAATATTTATTTCAGTATTCAATCTTAATATTTTCTTTCAATTTTATATTTTTATTATATATTTATTTATATAATATATCTATTGACCATATTACAAAAATGTATGATATAAAAGGCGGACTTAATACTATATAGCATTCCCTCTTTATTATGGTGCCTATAAACAGGTTTTTCATCAAAACTAATCATTTAAGACA